AGTATATAAAGTGAATTACAAAAGCTAACCTTACCTATAGATTCAACTCATCCTCTCCAATCTAATTAATTAGTGGTGTTTTCTATCGTGGCAGGGCGAAAATGGGACACTCGTGCAGTCGATGGCGTTGCTTTTGTTTGCTGATTCTTGGAAGTTGGTTCGTTATATTCATCCTCACGGACGAGCCATTCGGCCTATCACTGCCAATAGAGTGTAAAAGGTACGATTATAACTGTCGATGACATTGTCATACAATACATGTACTTTCAGGCGCGGATGCTCACCCTGACTATCGCACATAGTCCACGGGGACAGGGTCCACAGGGGAGAATCCCCCTAGAGCGCAGACGACATGAGGGTTTAACACAGATATCTAAAAGAAATTATATATGAACTGAATAGGTGCGAGTTGAAACTCACATGATCATCCGCAGTTATTTTAGTCCTAACCTTCACCACGGCGAACGGTGCGAAATGTAAATGATGGACCTCTAGCTAGGTGCACGGAAATTGCACTCTCATACCTAAAAATCTTACCGGTAATTCATATCAATAATATAATACAATTATTTTTCTTAATGCAATTTAGGGGGGGGGGGGAAGGTGCGATCGTACCGTCTGCACCCCCCCCCCCCCCCCCCCCCTCCACCCCAGACGGGAGCAAAAATTAATGTGATGCCGACAGTGATGACCACAATTTTAACACAATTAACATGAACTATTTGTGATCTAAATTCGCCAGACTTGATACTGAATTATTTTTGGATCTCGAGGGAGAGATGGATGGCGTCAACGACAGAGCCGAAGTTTTAAGGTTTGTCCGTAGCCTATAGCTTTAATGATGAAGATGATGAAGATAATTGATAATTGATAATTGATGATTGATGATAATTGATAAATGATGTTTGATGATGATTGACGAATAATGGCAATGATTGATGACTGACAATTGGTGATTGATTGATGATTTGATGGTCGATGATTTGATAATTGATAGGCCTAATTGATGATTGATTAGGATGATTAATGATTGATAACTGATGATGATTGATGATGACTGACGATTGATTGATGATTTGATGATTGATGATTTGATAATTGATAGGCCTATTTGATGATTGATTAGGATGATTAATGATTGATAATTGATAACTGATGATTGATGATTGATAATTGATGATGACTGACGATTGATTGATGATTTGATGATTGATGATGACTGACGATTGATTGATGATTTAATGATTGATGATGATGATGACGATGATTGATGATTAATGATTGAAGATTGATGATGATCGATGATGATTATGATTGATGATTGATACAGACTTGGGTTATCCTTGGTGTGATTCACACTAAACATACTCATCGTACGATGTTCAATTTTGCTAATATTAATTGCGTAGGGACTATGCATTGAAGTGCTTCCCGACAGACTGGACAGTGATGCTGTATAAAGATGGCACATCTTCGTCTGAAATGGACTTTAAGCAGGGTTTTGGATTCTTTGAATTTCTAAGCGAAATCGTCAATCAGGATCAAGCGACACAAGCCTCGATAAAAGCTAAGTTAGACGTGTTACAGTTTCAACACAAATGCGCAATTATAGGAAACAGTGGTATCTTGGTAAACAGCAGCTGTGGTAACGAAATCGACAACAATTATGATTACGTCATCCGGTCAAATATTGCTCCAATCAGAAACTTCGAAAGAGATGTTGGCACGAAAACTAATCTGACAGTACTGAATTACAGTATAACAAATACGCTATATTTAGTTTTCTCCAGTTCTGGTCAAACAAAGGAGAAGGCCATATTCATGGAACGCTTACGTTGGTTAAATGATTCCGTTTTATGGTATCACAAAGGCGCAAGAACACGTTTTTGGGCGAAAAGAAAGCTGAGATATTTAGCGAATGAACTTAAAATATCATACAATCTACCAATACGGATAGCTTATACATATACGCCGATGGAACATCTTACAAAATGGTAGGTTGTAATATGGTAATGTTTATATTCGCCCATTTTCTCATCTTCCTTACCACGGCATCCAATTTTAATATTAAACATACAGGCCTAAGCAAAGAGTATAGAACTGCTTTTATATACGCCATTACACCAAAAATTAGCCCTACAAAAAATCTAATAAAAAGGCAGAATCGAATATTCTAAAGCCAGGCTCCAAAGGGGAAAAAAATATATGGTCGTACTACTGATTTTTCACAAGACACAAAAATGATATTTGCCGAAAAACTTGGGAACGTTTAATGAGATACAGATTTTTAAAATACTTAAAAACTGGGGGAAAAGGGCGTAACCACCACCCTTTTCCTCTTTTGTGAAAAAGACTTCGTTTAAATCTTTTTCTCTATTATTATACATGCATACTATATATTTATATATAAATCAATATATTCATGCAAATTAGGTTTGCTACGTTGCACTTTAAGTACAATGTAAACAAATAATAACAGATAAACAAAACTAGACCGTATTTATTGGAATAAACGCCCGGGGCGTTTATTGTTAAGAAAAGTTTTTTTTTTTTATTCGAGGGAGGCGTTTATTTATTTTGGTGTAACATGAATACGTATATACTCAAATAAATGCCCCTTAATTTCACTGTAAATTTGGAACTAAAACACATGGTTTTCCGTACTAATTTACATATTGTACATTGTTTTCTGTTTTATGTCAAAAGGCTCGCACTTTGTCTTGGGCCCTTGGACCATGGTTCCCTCTTGGACATTATTGTCGAATTTTTAATAAAATAAAACATAATTACCGTCATTTACCGTTATTGTGACCAACCAGGTTAGAAAAAATGTAATTCTATTTGGAAAACTTCAATAGAATGTGCTGAGAATGATATAGGCCTAGCTTCCCTTAGTTTTGTTCCAGCCATCTGGGCGCGTTTCTTCGAGGAAAAAATTAACGCCCCTGGGCGTTCATTCCAAATAAGGCTCTGGAGGGGGCGATTATTCAAAGCGGCGCTTTTACTCGAATAAATATATTTATACACAATACCGTATAGAGACCTGCGACATAACTAATGTGACACAGTAAAGTATATAAATATACTGTAGGCCTATTATAAATCCAAGTAAATAATATATTTGAATTAGGTTTTGCTGCGTGGCACTGTAATCATAGATAAAAATAATACCAGTGCTTCGAGCACTAGAATAGTCGAGGCTTAAGATAGGTATGAAAACTATCTCACCAATAAAATAATAAGTATATTATAAATGCATAAATAATACTGTATTCAAACTACGTTTTTCTACGTAACACTAAAAACACAATATAAACAAGTTAATAATAAATAATACTAGTAATAATGTTTTATATATATATGTATAATATTCAATAGTA